ACTAGCCCTTTTCACTGGAGAACTTCTAAAGAAGCTAATCTCAGCATCTTCCTTCCAAATCCAGCTATTTTCTTGGSTCCCTCTCCAATCCTGAAACACCATGACAGAGAACCTGAAGTCTCTGACCTTGTTTGATGATGCCTTTAATCCCAGTATTTTACACAAGACCGTCTTCAAAATTAACTCTATTTTTTTGATGRAAAAATTTGCTTTCTACCTTGTTCTGCAGAGCTGTCTTCTGGTTTTCAAGCTCTGGGCAGAGTTGTATTCAGGCTCCCTGAGCTGGGGCCGCATGGGGCAGCAATTTAATTGCCCAAGCAAGCACAAGCTCGTTGTCTGGCAGGGTGCCAGCATGGGCTCTGATGTGCTAGCGGAGCTGCATGGATTACGTTTTGCTTTTGACATTGGTGCCTTGGCTTTTGTCCTTTGGGTGGCATCACTTGCACAGGAAGGAAGCACAAGGCAAACGGAGGAGGCCAAGATGGAGATGTCCTTCAGGCAGCAGATCCTGCCGCTGGGTGTGTGTGCCACTCGGTGTGTCCCTGGTGCTTTAGGCCGAGATCCAAAGCTGGTGTGGGGCCATTTTGGAGTTTCCTCTCCGGAGCTGGCTGCAGGGCAGGAGGGTTGAACAGCAGCCTATGCTCAGAGTTCCCCTGAGTTTGGTTTGTGCTGGCCCAGGTGAGCAGGTGGGCTCCCTGGCTCAGAAATGGCAGGGGTTTCGTGTGGCTTTAATGCAGGACTTTGTTCTGAATCTTATTTTTCTGCAATTATTAGACTTTTTTTTCACAGGCTTTGCTTTTTCTTCTCCATRCCTCTTTAGGAGATTCATTTTGGGTTAAAGGCCACCAGTGTTTGTATCAAGCTTCAGAAACAACCTCAGCCCTMTCTATCCTTCCATCTTTCCTCTCCGCCACAGTAACATCCTAAACCTCTTCTCATAGCCACATAAAGCTAGAAAACACAATCAGAATTTATGACTCAGAACACTTCTCAAAGCACAGCTGATACCACAAATAACTCAGAGTGTTTTCAGGACTGTGGGGGTGTTTGTCTCAACCCCTCAGTAGGGATGGCTGTACATCACTGCGTCTCACCTACTTTTTTGTTCTATGTTATATATCTTATGCAAAGTATTAATTTACATGTATGATATTCATTTTGTAAACACAGACATGATTCAGCCTCATTTGGGGAGCCCCAGTGATCYAGAATTGCAGTTGGCAGAGGAAGGAGGGAGCTCTGTTCAATATGTTCAGCTCCTCACAAGGGTCAGAGGTGGGATGCAGATGCAGATTTGGGGTTGTAAGAAGAATACCAGCTTTCTGGAATCCCAAGGATAATGATGAGTCTCAAATTCATAGGACTGATTGAAAGAATAACCCAATGCAAACCTTTCCCCCACTAGAAGAGACTTCCATATAATTAGCTCATCTCCTATTCAGGCAAAAATCCTGAGGGAGAAGGTTGGTTTTTGGTCTGAATAAAACATGGTAAAATCTACACTGAGAAAAATGATGGCTGGCATACAATGGCGTGTCTACAGTGACATACCCATGCAAATATTGTACTTCTTTTTGGCTTAATTAGTGCCATGTGTTAATGAGATAAATTCTCTCTATGTTAAGCAAAAAATCCTCCTATTAGGCTCTCAAAGCCCAAATATTTGTCTGAATGATGAAGACAATATTTTTGCACAAATTCAGCTGTTTGAAATGCAACATTCACAGGATAGAGCACTGTTTTGGTTGGACTCTATAGTGCAGAGTTGCAAGAGTAACACGGATTTTGGCTGCGATTCCTACAGCTTCACAGCATAATTCTTTTAGATTTGGGGGTAGCGTTCCTCAAACAAAAATGACCAGGGATTTAGAAGCTAAACTCTGTGTCCTTTCCTCATGGAAGCCTCATTTGTCCCTGTCAGGTATCTCATGTATTGTATTCCAGAGCTCTACAGGATGCACGCATAGAAAATCTCCACATTAAGYCACCGTATTTGAACTAAAACATGTCTTCCTGAAAGATGTCTGAGTGCTCATTTACAGCCTTCATGTGACAGAGAATCATTCAGGTACCCAGGTACTCCCTCCTCCTGCTTGATTACCTTCACTCAGACCCACACAATGCATTTGTAGTTCAAAGTGGGGCGGGATCCACTCTTGGCACCTTGGCACCACTCCACTGAATAAAGTTTCCCACTTCCATCACATATCGCATATCCCTTCCCCAAGCAGATCAAGTTGCCCTTTGACATCTTTAAGGATGGATCTAGACCAAGACTCCCTAGTCTCCTGCCACAAAGCCTGGCCTCCAGAGCTAATGTAATTCTTGTCACTGCTCCTCAGAGAAGGGTTTTGCTAATGCTGTACATGAAAATAACACAACCTTTCTTCTTCTCTTGATATTGCCCAGCTCATATTGACAAGGATGGCGTTTTCTGCATTATTTACAGCACCACACAGAGTTTGCATTCAGTGCACAATCTCCCCTCAGTCCCTGGCTGTTTGGCAGAAGACATTTGCCTGTTGTTTCTGTTTGAAGTGCATTCCTCCTAGCTGGACATATGACTTTGCATTTGACTTGGCTATTTGAACAGCCCTTTTTATCAAACAACCCGAGCCAGGCAGCACAAGCAACTCATTGCTCACATGCATTGCTATTCTGCCCACTTTGGGGTCATGGCCACTTTTTACCGTCAGGGATTAGATATTTTCTTTCACATCTTTGATAAAGATTCTGAATGGTACTGAGCAAAAAAGAAAAAATCTCATTGCGAGTCTATAAGAACACACACTGCATACTAATATCTCACTGATTGTTATTTTCTAAAATATATCTTGTTACTTGTTGTTAGTCCTCTGAATATGGGCCGCACTGTATTACTCAATCAAAATAGGACTACATGTGAATTACAGAAATCTTGGTTGCTTCCATCAACCAAGTCCCTGTMATTTAATTTAATTATTGTCTTTATTTTTAAATAGTTCCTCTTGATCCTCACTGGCAATTTATTTTAGCATAGGGAATAGGATTTTTTTTTTTTTTTAATTTCAAGTATATTGTTGCCTCGGACTACATTTTGCTGGCACTTATGAAATGGAATGGGATCATTTGTATCTAGAAAGCCATCATTTTCCAGCCTGCTGCCCAACAAAAGCAAGGTCTGATGCAGAAATACCCCAGGCTGATTTCAATTATTTTTATGTATTTTATATACGTAGAAACTTATAGACAGCTTTTAGAAACCCCAGGGACAGTTCTCCACGGGTAGCGCAAGACCCMCTGTATCTGCTCCCCAGCCTTAAATCTCCTATCAGAGATAAAAGATGAATGCTGTCTTTGCACTCCAAGAAGGGATATCAGAGGAGCTGATCTTTCTAATCCCATTTTTTCAGTGGTCTGCAGTGGATACTTCACCCTCCCAGGACTCCTCCCCAGCCCAGTGAGTCGCTGTTTGCATAGGGATCTCCGAGCATTTTGAGTTTTACCCAAACCATCGGTATTTATGGCATATCAGACTGCCTTTGATGGAGACTGCCCTTTCTCCCTCCCTCCTCCCTTCCCCCCTCCCTCCTTCTTGTGTTGCCTGAGCAGGTTGTAGCAGTGATTCCAGCATACCCATCATCTGTCTCATCACACGGATGCTCGGTAATRTCCATCATCTCATACATACATTTCCCGTTCCTCTGACCTAGTCTCAATCTAAACTTGGCTACTCCAATASCTCCGTTAAGTGCCTGTATTTTTGTTGACTTTTGCAGCTGGCTGTGTCTGCCTGGCTCTATCTCCTCCCTGGTCAGAGGAGATGGAAGTGCTGCAGCGGCTGCAGGCTCGCGGACCCGAGGGCCGAGCGGCAGGGGACGAACAGCGCCAGGACCGACGGCGGGGGCTGCGGGGACCCGGCCCGGTGAGTGCAGAGCGAAGAACCCCCTCATCCGAGGGGGACATCCCCAAGGGACTGGGGGAAGCCGCCAGGGGTGGGGGACGGGATCGGGAGGCTCGGGCGGTCCCCGCCCGCGGCGCCATCAGCACTGCCATCCGCGGACAGCGCCCGGCCCGGCCGCGAACCCCGGGAGCGAGGCTGCGCCCCCGAACGCGCCCCGACCCCCCAGATGCCCCCATCCCCACCCCGGGGTGCAGCCCCCGGCCCCCTTCCCCCCGGCCCGCCCCGCCGCCGCGGGCACTAACCGAACATCTGGATGTGGCCCTTGGTGATGGGGTTGAAGCTGCCGCAGGCCAGCAGGATAACATGGGTCTTGGTGGTCTCGGTCATGGTGCGGCCCTGCCCGGCCCCGCCGCGGTCTGTGGCTCGGTGCGGCTGCGGGAGGGAGGAGGGATGGAGCGGTGCCGGGCGGGAGTGGGGGCGGCGCCGCGGCTGCGGGAGCGGGGCCGGGGCCGCCCMTCGCCGGCACAGCCCGGGGCGCGCCCCCCGCGGGATCCTGCACACGCGTGTGTGCATGTACACTCATGGGCACACCCCACGGGCACCGAGAAGGGCACACGGCCCGGCACGGATGAGCCSTGTGCACACACACAGATGGACACACATCCGCATCCTCCCTACACACGCACGCACAGAGGTGCGGCAGGGACACGCTGCAGCCCCAGGACCGAGGACATGTAACAGGAGGTTCAGCCTGCACATGAGGAGGCTGAAGGATGGCCTTGTAACGCCCTTCAACTCCCTGAAAGGAGGATGTAGCCTGGTGCGGGGGGCAGTCTTTGCTGCCAGGCAACTAGTGAGAGGACCAGGAGACACGGCCTTAGGAAGGGGCTGCCCAGAGAGGCGGTAGAGTCACCRTCCCTGGAGGTGTTTAAAAAAAGACTGGATGTGGCACTGAATGCYATGATGCAGTTGACAAAGCAGTGATCAGTTACAGATTGGACTTGATGCCCTCAGAGCCCTTTCCCAACTGAACTGAATCTGTGATCTGCATAATTCAGCTCTCATGAGCAGCTACACGTGTGCTCCCCTGTCCTGCTCTGCTGATCCCAGCCTGGCACCTGCAGCTGCACCTGGCACCCTCCCAGCCCCAGCACAGCATTGCTGCAACACCCTTTTCTGGKGTTCTATGGAGAAAATAACTTGGAGGGCTTCAGCTTCACCCAGCACATCCATTTCACTGCCTGAAAGAGGCCGACATCAAATAGGTGCTGTGCATTCACTGAAAACCGGTCTTTATGGCAAGGTAAACCAGTACCAGACTACCCAACTGATGAATTCTCTTAATTTCCATTTTTAGGACTACAGGATTGCTGTTCTCCACTGAAGAAGCTCCTTGCCCAGAAAAAAAGGCCAGCAGAGCCCTCTCTGCTCACAGTCATGGAAAGAGCTTCAGGCTGCTGCCTTCAGCCCCTTCCCCAAGGCTGTCCTGGCCTTATCTCTGGCTTCTACATGTAGATTTTCCTCTCAGCAGTGAGTTATTTTCCACCAACAGGTCTCCCTTTCTACCTTCATCTGTCTTCTTCCTCTGTCCTTCAGAGGACCCCCCCAGACACTCATTTCTCTCTTCTCATGGTGCTGCCTTTCAGCCCTACCCACAACAGTAGGCTGTTTTTCTCTCTGTCCTGCTAAGATTGATTATTCCCAATCTTTTGCTTGGAAACATTTTCCCTTCTAGCTCAGCCAGGTGCTGGGGCACTTGTCAGCCCACTCTTTGAGTGCTATGAAGGAGTGAGACCACTAGGGAACAAACCCAAGATGGTGCTGAGTCTGTTTGTTCAGGGAACCTTTAAATCTTTGTTGTGAAGGCCCTGGCTGCACTCAGCCTCAGGAGCACACACTGATGGCAAGGGGTGTTCTCTCTCACTGCACAGGGGTATGGTAGAACCTTCGGAGTTCTGTTTCTATCCTGGTTTTTAATTCAGGCTAGGCTGATGTTGAGGGAGAGAGATGCTGAGACAGCTGGTGTGCTCTGTTCCTTGCTCCCTGTTTCTCCGCTTTGACTTTATCCTGAYACCCAGGGAGATGTGAGATATATTATATTAACAGGGTGATCCTTTTTGGCATCAAGCTGGCTCAAAATCTGCYGGTGTTTCATAGAATCATAGAATCATCAAATGCTTTGGATTGGAAGAGACCTGAAAGATCATCTCATTCCAAGTCTGTGTCATGGACAGGGACACTTTTCTTTAGGCCAGGTTGCTCCAAGCCCCATGCAACCTGGCCTTGGGCACTTCCAGGGAGAGTTTGAGAGCTGACAGCCCCATTTGAATTGGCTTTGCAGTTCAGGGATAAATAAGGAAGCAGGCAGAGATGCCAAAATTTAAATAAGCCATTAGAAACTCCACACATACAGCACATGCAGTGTGGAAAGAAGGAAGCAGTTTACATGCATTGGCCAGACACTCTCGTAGTTAGGAAAAGAAATAAAAACAAAAATACTAGGGGAATACTCTCAGGTAGGAGAAAACAAATGTTGTTAAAGSTGTAAATGTCTGTCTACAGGCAAAAATCCCTCAAAGAATCTTGTTTTCTCACCAGCAGAAGACCAGGTGGGGAGCTTGCTGCTGCAAACACAAAATTATTGGGTTCTTAGAGTGTTAGTGTAAGTGTTACAGCTCTCAGTGTTAGTCTCCAGGCCCACAACAATGGGCTGGCAGGTGGCACAGATGTGGCAGAACTGCTGCAAGAGGGGCTTGATTGCTGAGGGGATGAGGTCTCCTAAAAGCATCCGTGYCACCTTTGCTTGCTGGGCTGAGCTGCAAGAAAGGCTGTGGGAGAAGCATCCATCCCTTTCATTGGCCACGTAGGGAAAGGGTGACAAATAAATGAACAAAAAACTTCAAGTCAGTAAGGGTATAGTGCTCTACCCTCTTACTAGCTCTGCATGGACATATGATGATTCAACGGGATTCGATTTTGGGGTTGTGTTGGGCTTTTTCCTGTGCTGCTCCTCCGAGCTTACCCTAAAAGGGAGAGACTCACAGCCTTAGGAAAAGAAGTGTCTCTGCAGTTCTTGGTATAACTCTGCTTTTAAAACCACAGGTGTTGTCAKCAGGGAAAAGGGTGTTGCTCTCCTGTGCCGAAGGATAGGAGCTACCACCGAAGATGGGTCCTACCCCCTTCCCTTGGGGAATATGGGGGATGCCCTTTATGAGAAGATTCTTCACTGATTCCTTCTGTACAGAAGAGGCTGAAGTTGAGGTGAAACAGTTCAATATTTTGTTAATCCTWACTCCATTCCCTGATAATTTTGCAGAGGAGCACGTTTTCCCTTCTGTAGCTTGTACCACCTGCTGCTGTAGGAGCATTAAGCGCTGCTGTTGCAGAAGGTACAAATGGACAAAACTGACTGTGGCTGAGATCTCCCATTGTCTGGTGATCCCAAACACATCCTGCTGGTCCTGACAGTTCCTGCCATGCAGCTGAATCTCTCTGCCTGCTTCATTTCACTCTGGGGTTTGACCATGAGCACCAGTGAAAGGTAAAGGTCACCTGTCCAGACATGGGCTGCGTACTGCCTGGCCGTGGTGAGGATGAGMTCTGGGCAGCCCTGCTGTAGCTCTTGCCTGGCTTTCCTGCTGCCTGCCGGCTGGTGAGTGATGTAGTAAATCAGCTGTCACTTAGCAACGCTGCCGGCTGGGGAGCGGCAGCGSGTTTTGGTGTGGGAGCGACGCCTGCAAGGCTGTACAGTGGTTATTTCGCATTTTTTTTTTCCCTCAGTGTTTTCCAATCCAGCCTGTATTTTCTTTTTCTTGCTGCTTTCCCCAAACACGTGAGTGCAGATGTGCCACGGCTGGAAAGAGCATCCCCAGCCGCAGGAGCCCGACGTCGCCAGCCAGCCCTCGCTGTGAATGCTGTGCAGCGCAGGAACACCCCGAGACCCCCWGGCCATTTGGTGTCCAACCCAGCCCACGGTGACAAGCAGCCATCTGCCATCTGCAGAGCTGCTACAGCAGCACACAGACAGGGCAGAAGCACGAGTAGCTGGGGTTTATTCTCTGAGAAAGAAAACAGCTCAGAGAAATACAGGGACCTGCCTACATGGGTAGCTTGAGCCAGCACTGCAAAATCGTTGCCTGTGGGACTTGAGACCTGTTAAGCACACCTGAAACATGGTCTGTGGTCCATACTAAGGATATTTCTGTACATGGATTTGTCCAGCTCCTCACTGTCTGCACAGCCAGGCCCTGAGAGCAAGGGGCCATRCAGCAGAGGGCAGGCAGATCACGGCTGTGTTCACTGGGGTGAGGGATGGGGACCCCTCCATTCTCCCGGCACTGCCTCTCACCTAGTCTCTCCTTTTGGGGTCAGGAGGAAGAAGGGAAACCTTCCAGCTTAAGGCTTTTAAATTGACAGTCTGCAAACTCTTCAAAAGAATCTAAATCTGTCAGAGAAAAGGGCAGTTACAGGGACTTAAATAATTTGTGAACCTGTCCTGGCACATTTTGGAGCCTTTTCTGACCAGGGTTAGGAAGTCAATTCAGTTCTGCTCCCCACATRCCAGCCTCATAACTAAGAAATTTTTGTAATGCAACAATGCACTYTAATAGAAAAGGTCTTTCCTTGAGRATTRAAGAGCAAAATATCTTGAATAAGGGATTTGCTCACTTGCTGACCCAGTTGGAATAAAACCCCTGGTTCCCAYAAAAGCAGGTTTTTAATTCACACCCCTTTTTGAGATATAAGCTGTTTGTATCTAGCCAAAATGCAGACTTGCAAACCCAGCCCATGGGAGGGAAAAGGTTTGCTAATATAAGGAAGCCTGACTGAACTGGCAGATTGGGGTAGGCTGGACAGGCCAAGCTGAGCCAGCTGATCATGGAACAAGAGCACAGAACAGTAAGTAGAAGTACTCAGGGGTAGCTGCTATGGTGGGAGCCTGGTGAGGTGGAAGGAGCTGCCAAACACACAGCAACCAGATCTGAGGCCACATGGGATGGGACAGCCTGGCCCAAAGGGAGAAATCTTCCCTTTTTGTTGACCCATTGTGCCACTGAAACTGTGGGGGAAACAAAAACCTTCCAACAATGTTTAAGTGCTACAGCATCAAGGCATTACTTTATTTCTGGCCAGGATGCTGCTCYGGCCAGGATGTGTAACAGAAATAACTTGATCCATATATAGCCCAGGTGTGCAGAGAAAATCATTCCATGACATACTAATTTTACCACATTTTCCCCAAGCTTTATACAGTCAAAAWCTATAGAAATCCATTGGTTCAATGTTCATCGGTCCCRAGTTGCGTAGTTCTTAGTACTTGGGTTCCTACCTAAGAAATGTCCAGATTTCTCCACCTCTGATGCTAATTAGGTCCTCMKTCTYATGTCTCTTTTCCCAGCCCAGGTATCTCCAGCCATGCCAGGGAGGAGATTTGGAGCTGATTTTC